AAAAAATCCCTCTCAAAAAAACACCAATTTTTATACACATATATATGAGAGAAAAGTCAGTAAGTTTTAATCTGACATGAACCTTAAATAGCATTTTCAGGAAACCAAAAATCGTCTTGGGGTCAAAATGACCAGAACTTAACTCATTTTTGTAATCATGGATACGTGCAGTTTTGTTTTTGGCAGTCACACTCATAGTTGTGTATGATAAGACACAATATTGGCACCCTAATGTGATTCTCTGTCATACATTCACAGCTATTAACAGTAACAGAGTCCATTTCAGACCACGATGTCAAATACAACACCACAGTGAGGGAAGACGCTCTCCTCGTCCTACTTCCATATGGAAAACCACTGGATCATCTGTCTATCAGAGTCAACATGTCCATTCTTTCCTTAAAATCATGTTGTGCTTAGCAAAACCTGGATTTCCATGCAAAATCTCAAGAGTTTACATTTGTAGGAGGAATTCTGCTGGATGGATTAAAAAACAGTAAAAGTGTTTACTGTGTATCGTCAAAAAGTTAATTTATTATAAACAAACATGCAAAGGAAGATTTGTGAATGATATGAAAATCTGTGGAGCTTTTCTACCAAATTCTGTGGGCGCAGACTTACACATTATGCCATAAATAAAATAGCCTAATTTACCGTTTTAATACCATAAAAAGAACAACCAGGAATGGCTATTGACATACGACTTAAGACAGCATCAAGGCTTTGCAGCTGCATATCAATAAAAACATGAATTAATGCCAAATCGTATATCACATTTCTCATCAATGAAAGAGCTTTACAGTAATCACTTAAAACCTCACTCTACACACAGCGCAATCACACGATCTGTGGCGTTCCACACCAACAAACGTTACGCCTGCATGTGTGTGTTCTGTGAGTGGATTGAAGCTGACAGCGATGCAGTCGTGCAGTGGATCGCTGGATCTCTCTGTGTGCCGCGGGTCATTCCTCTCCACCAGGAGATTCCTCTCACACCGCTGCAGTTTCTGGACTGATCCTGGAGTTAGTGTGAATTGTGACAGCAGTGTGGGTTTTCTCAAATCATTTGCTTTCTGTGAACTTTCACTTAAGTTCTAAATGAGGCATTGGGTCCCACATCTTTGAAATGCTTATAAACTGTAAACCTAATACTTACTAACTGGAAGTCAGCAGTTCCTCCTGTGTATCGCTGTTGGGTTTTTAGATGGTTTTATACTGTATACTCTTAAGATGTTAAGAATTACAGGAGCCTAGACTCTTCTTTAAAATTTGGAGGCCATTCATGGAATACTTCAAGGAGACATATGTCCTACTGATTATTATTATTTACCTTTTTTATTTGCCATTCTTTTTCATTAAACTAACTTGTGATTTTCATAACACCTTGACTCTATCACTACAGATAAATTACTAATTTGAAAGAATTTAATACACTTAATACAGCTAGTACAGCTAAACCGATAAGTAAATGTTAAGTACACACTAAAAAATGCTGGGTTAAATACAGCCCAGTGCTGGGTGAAATATGGACACACCCAGCAATTGGGTTGTTTTGACCCAGCGGTTGGGTTACTACCCAGAAGGTTGGGGTAAACATTTAACCCAACTGCTGGGGCAAAACAAC